GTCAAGACTGATACAGTTCTTATCTTGTGTAGAAAGAAAGCTGAAAACACACGGTGGGACTATCTAACTCAGGTTGAGAAAGAATGCAAAGAGAAAGAGTGAGTCTGCTTTCATTTATTTCTGAATTTTAATGTATTTGCTGAGATTAAAATTTTTTCTAAATAGTTTATATTTTAGATAATAAAGGTATTTCTTTTGATCTGACTTGTACCTCTTAATGCCCACTGACTAAACCTGATTGTCTTGTATATACGCTGTCAGCCCCTACCTCAGGAGGACATGTGCCCAGGAAATTGCTTTGTAAAGGAGCCCTTGTATTTTGGCTGTCTTTTTAGTGTCTGACCTCAGGCACAGAAAACCAGTGGTGCTTTTGGGCAACTATTAAGCCCACTCCCAGAGATTCTGTTTCAACAGTTCTATGAGATCTGGAACTATTTCTCTATCTTTGTGTATTCAAAAGAACAAACACAGGGAGTTCTGGTGGTCTAGTGGCAAGAAGCTGCACTGCAATCCCGAGGGTGCACAGTTCGAATCCACCAGATGCTCCACTGGAGAAGGAGGAACAAACTCCTCCTGTGCCAGTCGGATCCAATTTGACGGTACACCAAATTAATAAATAAAAAAAAAACAAACAAACCACAACACACAAACAGGTAAGTCCTAGAGAAAGTGCTTCTTGGAGGCAAGGATTGTGAAACTTGGTCTCACATACTTTGGACATGTTAGGAGAGGCTACTGCTTGGAAAGGGATAACGTGCTTGGGAAGGTAAGGGGTCACTGAGGGAGAGGAATACTCTTAACCAGGTGGATTGATCAGTGTCTGTGGCAGTAGGTAGGCTCAAATGTGTCAGGATGATAAAGATCGTACAAGATAGGACAGGGTTCAGATCTGTTGTTAGTAGGATTGTTATGAGTTGTTAACAACAGAACATCTGGATCCCTAAAATACTTTTCTTTTCACAGAAATTTTTTTTTTAAATTTGAGTATCCCCAGTAATAGACTCAAAAGAAATAGCTATCCTATTTAATTATTCTTCTGGCTACAGTTAGACATATATGGGGTCAGTTTTAAATCTGAAGTAAAGTAGTATTGGCTCTTGTCTTATTCATATTGTTTACCAAGTATACAGCAGAATCAGGCAATTCAGCAAATGAGGTGAGTAAATACATGGTGAATGACTCATTAAATATAAAGTCTCTTGGCCCAGCTTTGGCAGTCTTTGAACTGGGAGTTCTGACTACATTAAAGACTGTGATCTCACCACCATGTATCTACAGATTTAAGGGGGGACCTTTTCTACTTTAAACTGTTTGCGCTCCAGTGTCTTTGTAAAAGGTTTATGTTCTTTCAATGAAAGCCCCCCCTCCCCGCCCCTGAAATACATAAGGAAATCATAACTTTAAAAATTAAAGCCGGTTAGAAAAGGAAAAAGAAAAACAGGTAACAGTTGCCTGAAATCCAGCTGCCCCCAAGATGCTCGCATTTTGGTTAGGGCTTTCATGTACTGACTTGATGTACACATGTGTGCTTGTGTGTGCTGTTAAGAGGATTTTACAGCTTGACCATTAAAAAGTTCAGTGTTTGGATCTACCACCTGCTCTATGGGAGAAAGATGAAAGTCTGCGCCTATAAAACATTCACAGCCTTAGAAACCCCACAGTGCTGTTCTTTGTCCTATAGGGTCACTATGAGCTGGAATTTACATCACAGCAGTGGATTTGTTTTTGTGTCCTAAGTGCCGTATATTTTAATTGTGAGCATCTTTTGATCCTGTCTTCACCCCTCCCCCATCATTGTTAATGTAAATCCTGTCTATACTTTGTTTTTATATAAATGTATATGAAGTGGTCATTACATCATGTTTTCTCTTTAAACAGAAAGCCTTCCTATGACACTGAAACAGATCCCAGTGAGGGATTGATGAATGTTCTAAAGAAAATTTATGAAGATGGAGATGATGATATGAAGCGAACAATTAATAAAGCCTGGGTAGAATCAAGAGAGAAGCAAGCCAAAGGAGATACAGAATTTTGAGACTTTTAAAGGTCCTTTTGGGAACTGTGATGTGGAAATATTGATGTTTCCAGTAAGGGGAATGTTGGTGAGCTGTACAGATAAAATTTGGCGTCTATTTACACAGCCTTCTTCCAAGTAAAGACAGTGAATTCTCCATTTCCTGCTGGAGGATTTATTTAAATAAAATATGTTTATTAAACACTTCCTCCAAAGATGATTTCATTAGTACCCTGATCATTTTACTAAAAAATGGGGTATATTTCTTTTCCTCCTTAAGTTTAAAACTGCTAATCTTGCCTAATTGAAGTGCCATATTATGTATGTTTTTGCTCATTTAAGTAAAAAAAGTTACTTACTGCTTTTAAGTTACTGACCTCAGCTTCTACTTATGTAAGAATGTGTGCTGTTAAGTTTATTCCGACTCCTGGCCTCCCTCTCACCCCCACCCCACGACAGTAGAACTGTTCCTGAAGGTTCCTAGGCTGTAATCTTTATGAGAACAGATGACTAGGTCTTTTCTTCCAGGACTGGCTTGTGAGTTTCAAATGCCCTTTCAGTTAGCTGTTATGCATTTAACCATTGTACTACCAGGGATCCTTACAGAAAATGAAATTTGTATGCTTAAAAGTTGCAGTAGAAAACAATTGTTAGGTGTCATTGAGTCCTTATTGCTGTAGATTCTGATTCATGGCAACCACACATATTGTAGAGCACAGCTGTGCCTAATCGGTTTAAGACTTAATATTTTGAAAGCAGATTGCCAGGCCTTTCGTCCAAGGTGCCTCAATGGGTTCAAACTGTCAGCCTTTGATAGCAGTTGAGCATAATATATCATGCATTAGCATGCACTAATACTCCAGTCGAGTTTCTATTTAAACAATTCATTGTGAACATAGACTTGAAACTCAAGTTGACAAGAACAGTAAAGTATCTTTGTATAATACCAGTTAGGTTTATTATGAATTGAATGGCTTATCGAAGCAAAAGGAATTACTTTGGAAAATAGTTATCCCTATGTCCAATAAAATTAGATTGTACACAGTTGAAGTTTTACTTTTTGTCCAGAAGTGTGTCAGAAAGTTAGACTAAAATTTTCACTAAAATAATGAACAATAATGCATTCTGTCTTCATTACTGCATAGGTATGTGAGTTGTTGGCCATGCAATTAGATGAGAGAAAACAAGTAGGATCATAAATAGCCATGGGCACAACAAAAGCAATTGCAGAAAGTAATAGAATTTGGTAATTAACAGAACAACCACATTTTGTTACTATCCATATTCCTTTTTTTATGGATGAAATACACATGAATACTATTCCAGCAAAACCTTTTCTCTTTGGATAGATTTTTTTTCTCTCTCAGTAGCTTACCTAACAATATAATTTTGTTTGAAGATGGAAGAAGAAAACACCAAGTTTTTGTTATTTGGTACAAGGTAGCAGCTCTGCCTTCCAATCTGACTTTCTCCCCAAACAACAAAGTAACCCTGTAATAGGATGATGAATCCTGTAGGTTGAGGAGCTAACCTAAGATTGAAAATTGCCATAAATTACACAAATGTCAGTAGGTTAACTATCCAAAATATTGTTTCTGAAACAATGTTCTTTAAAAAAAAAAACAAAACAAAACTGAAAGATTAAAGTGCACAGCAAGTTTTCACAGAAAATATTTATTACACTGCCACATGACGCAACAATACAATCTATTAAAGAGCAAAGTCAATTCACAGATAACTTAGAGTTCACTGACAGAATGATAAATCAATCCAGATTTACTGAAAGGTAAACCTTGTAGCAGGACAGGCCGACTCCCATATTAGAGCCCTGGGAAATGATGGTTTTGCCTGTTAGAAAAGCCCCTTGCTGCCTGCAAACGTTAGTAGATTCTGGAGCCGATTTACCACATTGCCCGCTGGACCCCAGAAAGTTGCCCGTGGTCAGCCAAGTGGCGGAAGACAATGCGACTGAGCCTCCAGCGCCGCTTGACGCCACGTGGGCGGGACGTCAAAACACAGCGATTGCGGATTCTGACCGGACAGCTGTCACGGGGAAGGGCAGCAATTTCTTCATCAGCCACATCCTATGGGAAATCACAGCACGATTACACGGATCACCAACATTTATTGATTCTAAGTGCTCAGTTCAATGAGCAGATGAAAAGAGGACTCGATTGGAAAATGTAGCCAAAATGTGATCCAAGAACCCTAGACACAGTGAACTGAGTGGAAAGAGTACATAAAACAGCCCCACAAGATACCAGAAATGTTTACCATACTCAGCATAACTTTTTAAAAATGTAATTGACACTTGACAGTGATACATAATACTGGGTAAATCATAAGAATAAACTCACAACACACCCGTGTAACAAGTTCCAAGTTTAGGAACCAAACACTTACACCCCAGGCCTTTACTGCACCACTGGGTAAGTGCTAACCCAATGACTAGCCAGAGATGATAGTGTCAGTTCTGAATGTCATATAAATAGGGCCATTCAGTAACATTTTCTTTCTCTTTGGCTTTCAGCAATATGCTTGGGAGATCATAATGTGGCTTTTTCTCATTGCTAATTGTGTGTGAAAGTAACATAATTTCTGGGTACAAAAATAGAGTCTGTCTACGGCTGAGGGGCATAACGGTAGTTTCTAGTATTAAGCTGTTACCATATTGCTGCATACATTCTTGTTGAAGTCATTACTATGGATTGGATTGTGTCCTCAATAAAGGTAGGTTGAAAGCAAGGGAAGAGTAGACTGGAAGACTAACATTTCAGATACACATCTCGAAGGATGGTTTAACGACTCTCCTCCCCAAAAAGATTTAAGGCAATTGACAAAAAGTCTAGGCTTCTTTGAACTGGGACATGTTTGTAACTATTTGGCAGGCAACATGCAGAGTATCTGCACAGCTAGGGGCTTAGGGATCTTCATAAATGATGCCCTCGGCAGTATCTTTGGCTGAGGTTCTCAGTGGTCACCTTGAAAGCAGACAGTTTAATGCCATTACAGTAAAGTTCCTAATAGAGTGCTCCTCAACACCAGGTTTTCAGCTCATCTGGCGAAACTCAAGGCTCACCAGGAACGTTATGCTCAGGAAGCCAAGCTGGTGCAGGGTTAGCTTTCTGATAGGCGTGTGACAAATAAGCCTAAATGGAAGGGCAGCTCAGCACACAGAAGTGAGCAAGTGCATTCAAAAAAAGCAGGATAAGCATCTTTTTTCTGCTCAAGCTGGAAAAGCTGGCCTGCCAACAAACTGTTTCTTGAGAGGAGACGCAGGACTACTTAGACGTTAGCAAGGAGCCGGAATTGGGAGCTGCACTATTGAGAAAAAAAGCAGGATAAGGAAAGTGCATCTAACAACAAAGTCTGCAATCCCAAAAGGCTGGGATGAAGCTGGGGAGATAAGTTAGGTCAAATAACTGCCCAGTTTCTACATAGATACTGGGCACAAGTACATTCGAAGAATAAATAGTTGAAAGGCAAATTAGCTTAGATCACTTTCTTTAATTATTTGTTATGTGCCAGTGAGTTAACTAGTTCAGCAACCCCATGAGCAACAGATCTAAACTTTATTCTCCCTAGGCCTTCCCTGTATTCTCCCACATGCTCCACCCCATTGGTACAGACACTGTCAATCTATCTCCCAACATGAGGCCTTTTTCCAAGGACTGGCCCCTTGACAGTATGCCCAAAGTCTCACTATCCTTGCCTCTATGCAGCACCCTGGTTTCATTTTCTCCAAGACAGATTTGTTTGAGCCTCACCAAAATCAGTTTCAAAGGATGGATTTGTATTGACTTGGAATATTTGCTCTTAATGCCCCAAAAGTATATAATGATAGTATATCACAACAGTATCAAGTGTTCAGACTCCAAAGATGCTGTAGTAGTTAGGGACACAGTCTACTAACCTGAAGAGTTGTTGGCAAAATAGTATTCTTCCTGAGTGAATTTATCCGCAGTCTTTCATCTGCATATTCATAGGCCATTTTTCGTCTCTTCACATCACGCACCATTCTCCAGTCTACGTAATAACCTCGAACTTGACCTGAAGCTGATGAAGGAACCATCTAAAGGACAGAATTAGTGGCACATGAAGACTAGTCACCTCCAGGATCTGCCAGTCCTCTAATCCAGTAACCCTCTTTCGGTTGCTGTTTATGACCTAGCATTTTATGACTTGTTTCAGACCACTGTAGTATTAATTTAAAATATACATTCCTTTGGTATTCCCCCACAACACACTGTTAAAACCCAAAGCCATTTCTCAGAGCTCCTTTTAACGGGCCTGTGGGACTTAATCAGGGAAGGGAAGGGAAGGCTCTGTTGCTCTTGAATACTTCTGCTTCCAGACTACACTCAGTTTTCCTATTCCCTCGATGACAGTACTTTTTCTGTCTCTTCTTCCCAGTCTCATCTTTGAAGCCGTTATTTTTCATTACCTACACTCTTCTCTATAAAATGGGGCCGATCTTTCAGCTTTCAATGACAGTCACATGCTTACGAATACCAACTTCGTAGGTGCAACGACACACCTTCCCAGAATCAAGCCGGTTGAGAAAAAGTGGGCAAGGGAAGGACCCTCGGGACGGACCTACAGTGGAACGGATGGTGGAAATGTCCTGGGGAACCTGCGAATCGTGAAATTCAGGAGTGGGAGGCTGGGCTGGGTACTGACCTGCCTGACAGTGCGAAGCAGCGAGCCCAGCATGGAGGCTGCCATCTTGTCCGCCGTAAACGTCAAAACGCTGCAACTTTATCGACACAACGGAAACCAAGAAGGACAAGCAGGAGGACGGGCCTTCCGGGCACGGGGCGGGGTAAGGACTTCCGGTTCCGCGCTCGGGTTGTCGGGGGCAGGTCTTCAGTGCTTCAGGGAGGAGGGGTTAGTTGTGGGATTTGAGATCTCGTGATAGTCTACGGGGACGGTAGAGTTTGAAAAATCTGTGCACCGAATCTGTGGTATACGTCAGTACCCCTGACTTGTTTTTAAAATTTCATTCCCGTATTAGACATTTAAACATGCGGAGCAAGATAGAGGGTCAGTTAAAGAAAGATCCTCAGGGAGGTGGATTGGCACAATCAGTGGCTGTAACAAGGTGCTCAAGTAAGTGTATGATGGTGAGGACAGCACAGGGGAGGGCAAGGTTCCCGAGCTGTTCTTAGGGTCACTTAATGAGTTGTACTCGACTCTTTGGCGCCTAACAACAACAACTAAAGCTACCTGTCCCTTACCAGTTCACCATCACTAATTCTGCCTTCCTGCTGACCGTATCCCTATTCAGACACGGCTGTCTAGAAACCTAGAAATTCTCACCGGCTCCTCTGTCATTTCGCCTGGGGATCTTGCAAATCTGTACCTGCAGTCCTTACAATTATTTCCATTTCATTTCATAAATAAGGATTGTTAGTCTGGGCAAAGAGGGCCAAAGAGAAGAATGAAGAATTCAGAACTCAAATGTTGATGGCCTTGCCTGCTTCAGATAAGAAGGCAAAAGGCCTTGCCTGCCTGGCTAAACTAGCAGGTGGCCCGTAAATCAGAATGGAATGTACCTCCCTAAAGACTCTGTTTATAAAAATCCTCCCCAGTAAGTTCACAGTGTGACTTCCCATTCTGCCTCTCCAGGATGAGGAACTCACCCGGGAGCTCCCCTTCCACCCCCACCCCCCTTTAATAAAACTGCATTAAGCTTTCTCTCGTTCTCTCTGATTTCTTCTTTAGGTCCACTAACCTAACCTAACCTAACATATGGTGCTACAAAACCCGGGAGATGAGTTAAGGTGCTGCGCCCCCGCCTTAGGGCGAGTGCTGGCGCCCCTTACTCTCTTCCGAATCAGTCTGTGCAGTGTCCAGATGCCTGAACGGTAAAGTTCTGCTGCTCTTCCTCTCCCCTGTGCTCTGTGTGGGCAGCTGCTGGCCAGATCTCTGCCCCTTTTGTCTTTCTGATCTCTGTGTTCTCCCTCTCCTTCTCCTGGAGGCTCCTAAAGCTAGACCCAATTTATTTCCAGGCATATTAAGCCTTTACTCCTCTGTTCCAAAGCTTTTAAGCTTTCCAGTCCAAACATTGTGAACTCCCATGAGAACCCAGATCTGTTCCATTGGCCTTCCATCCCACATACCCACAAAAAACACAGATCTGTGTTGGAAGGCCAACCAGAAATGCCAGGCATTTCTTCCAGGCTATGATGGCTCTGAGGACGCTCAAGCTGTCTATTGCCTCTCTCCACTGGTAAGAGTTCCTGAGACTCCCGGTTTCCAGAGGACGCTCTGGAATTCCGGTTGCCTCACCCACAGATCTGGGAACAATGGGAAGCCAATGTCTATCCAAGCTCTCAAGAGAAGGTCTCTTGAACTGCCTTCTCTCAAATCTCTCACACTTGAGTCTAGCTGAAGACCTCTGCCTCAAGATCCTTTTTCTGTAACTGAGAGGCCACAATACTAGCTAAGTAATAACTCTCAGTGGCCTAAAAATAAAACCTTTAGTTCGGCATTTAAACACTTTCTGCCAGTGGACTTAAAGAAACTTTCTTTTGTTTTGCTCCCGTACTTTCCTCTCCGTCCCAGCCTCCACCTCCTCCAAAAATCTCTTTGTCTGAAACCTTGCCCATCCTGACCAATACAAACTCAGCCATTCCTATCCTACCTCTTACATCATCCGTTACCAGGGTTATACCCGCCAAGTTAACCTCTTTGTTCTTTAGTTGCTCTTCTATCCCAACCAATCCAGACTCAGGCATACCTATTGCGCTCCTCCTACCAAGTCCCTCCTATGTCCTCTTCAAAAGTTACAAACGTTAAAAATCCCTCTCTGTGTTCAAAAAACTGCGTCTTTCTGCTGTAAACTCACTCACCTTTAATCCTACCAAGAACCTCTTAACAGCCTCTGTTTTCCTAACTCAGTCATAGGCCAATGTCGCCTCACCACAGGAAGCCTTTCCAATTCTCCCTCACATGCAGCCCATTCTGCCACCTTCTCTCTCCCCAGTCTGTTCAGAAAAAGTTTCCTACATCCACTCTCTTCCTTTACCTTCCTTTTCTTAAACCATCACCTTCCTCCTCTGATCATATAAGCAGCAAAAACACAGGCAAATTCACCACACCTCTCAGCTCCTGCTTTCCCCCACTCAGACACAGCCCCTCCTCCATCCTGCTTGGGAAAGTTCCCAAAGCAGAGAAAAATGCCCAAGTGAATAGCAAGTTCCCACTGCTACCTCACAGCATACAGAAAAAGCTAGAAACTACCTCCAAACACCTCACTCACCTCCAAACACCCTATTAGAGACCTGGTAGGCCTTTAAAGTTCCAATGCCCAAGAGAAACTGGCAGAAAAAACTCGGGCCTGACAGAATGTGAATCTGCAAGCCCAGACTCTCCTGGTTGCCTTATGGCCAGCAATGGTGAAGGGTCAGAGGACTAATGCTCCTTCAAAGAGCCAATTACCTCCTGAGGCATGCTTCAGATGCGGCTAGCTGTTGCCCAAACCCTCAACCTCCAACAAGGCCTTGCCCAATCTGTAGGACAATGGGTCATTGGAAGGTTGATTGCCCTTCAGCGCCTAGTCGTAGAAGGTCAGTCTCTCCACCAGATCCAGTCCCTATCAACCTTCTAGGCCTAACTGCAGAGGATTGAAGATGCCCAGGTTCAACAACCCTCACCACTCCTAAGCTCCCAAGGTAACCTTCAGGTACCAAGCAAACCAGTTTCCTTTCTGATTAGCACGAGAACTACCTGTTCAGTACTCCCTTCTTTCTCGGGTTCTGTTTTCCCTACCCAGGTCTCAGTAATAAGGATTAATAGTCTTCCCTCCAAGTCTCTTATCACTCACCAGGCACTGTCAACCCTATCATACATCCACGTCATCTGTAACCTCTCACTACCAACATGTTTTCATTACTCTAAAGAACTCCTCTTCTTTTCCTGCTAAACCTCATTCCCTGTCTCCACACAACACTGCAGAAGTTTAAAAACCATCATTACTTGCCTACTTTCCTATAAACTTCTTATCCTAAATAAATAAGTAATCTTTTGGTGTGCAGTCCCACACTCACACTGCTCAAACTTCTTGGCCTCCAAAGGATACGGAGTATCCCCTTCCAAGGCCCAACTGTCTCTCCTCACAGTCACACATGTCAGCTTTCAGTTAACTCCCACCACTAGAAGTCTAACAGTCAGTCTGCACATAGCCATTAAAAGCCTCAAACCTTCTCAAACTGCTGATCAAATCCTCTCCTTTCTCAGCTTTATTAATTTCCTCAGACACTGGATCCCCAATTTTTCTTTACTTGCAAAACCTTTCTCAAACTCCAATACTTCATTCCACTGTTCCCACCCCTTTACCAAATTCCTCTAAACACTTCACTTGTTCACTGATGAAAATGAATTATTGCTGTTGGTGTTTTAGCT